CAGGATAACGATTAAATTAAGAATGTAAGTAGATTCTATGTAATAAAATATTGATAATTTAAAAAACGAAATATATATATATTTATATCAATAGAAATATCAAGATTATTTTCTGAAACTCTTCATTATAAACATATCTATATACATATATTTATAATGGAGAGTTTCAGAAAAGAATCTTGATATTTCTATTAATACTGATTTATAATAATAAACGACGTTTTACAATCATAAGCCGCATTATATTGTATTTCAATAATAAATATTGGGGAAAATATATATTCGGTGAAAAAGGAAGGCGGGTAATTACGAAAATCCTTTATTACTTAAAGGTATTTATAAACAATAAGGAATGACAATAGATTGAGAGGAAATTAAACTAGATAAAATTATATACACTCTAGCAACTCACGCCTATCAGCGGCCTGACTTATCCAATAACCGCTAGATAACTAACAAGCTGCGATATCTAACAAAGATGCAAATTAGTACAGACAACATAAGCAGATTCGTCCAATACAGTATTAGAGTTCTGAGAAGCGGTCTGGTGGATTGAATTAACGAAGCCGCTGGGAGGATTCACCACTGATGAGCCAAGATTTCCCAATATATATTTTTTCATCGCAGTAAGGGGAGTAGAAGTTTGTATTATATATAAAAGAAACATTCGTGCTTCTAAATACTTTCATTTTATATGTATAGATGGCACGTTATTGCTTTGTATTAACAGACAATATTACAAAAATATGAAAACTATAAAAAGAGTATTATATCGTAGAAGAAGTTGTTCACAATAAAGTCCAATACATAAAGTTTAATAGATTCTGCAGGCTGTATATTTTAAGGCGAAAGTATTGACTGTTGGCCACTGACTCGTTCTGATGTAATCATTGGATGTATTAATTTACTTAGTCTACATGTTGTTCTAACTGTTGTAAATGGCAATTTTGTGTACATATTTCATACATTTTACATATTTCAAGCTACTATATCTAATCACTATATGCAAATATTTGACATCAAATGTGTAATTTGTGTGCTTTTCAATGTTTAATTATGTAAATTTCACGATGATTTGATTTGTATATAATATCAGATTTATACTCAATTATCCTAATTATGGATATGATGTGTCTTTGCAACTGTGTTAAATAAATAATATCGTAGAAATAACCTAGAATTTAAACTTTCAACAATAAATATATATTGGTTAAATCAATATTGTAGGGTCAAAATTTTACTTTGGAGGATCCACGGCAGAACTGAGTTATTCTTAAAGTTTTCAATAAATGCGCGGAACTTGGATTTATACGAAATTATTTTCGTATAGATCCAGGAGATGTGCCTCTCTCGTATATTGAAAAATACTCTATGGATCGTGATATTTTAGAAATATTTCCATATCTGTTAGGAGAGAGTCCATTGCAAATATGTATATATAGAAATGAAAGAATAGTGTTGTAACATACTTCTATTCAATATACAGATTATAATCGTTACATATTTTGTTACTCACTATATTCATTACACATCTCTGTTTTTATATGTAAATAAGTTATGAATTGTGGTTTGATCGAAATATATTGTCTCATTATCCTCAATGTTCGTTTTTTCCTCATTTTTTATACATATAAATATAATATTGTCGCGCGTTTCCCCTCTGGTCCTTTGCGACACACGCTTCTTCTCTTCGTGGTTCACCTACCCGGGCTCCGGTTGCTCTTCCCTGCGGCTTCTCCCCGCAGGCCACCCAATGACGCCCGGAGTTCCACCTCTTTCTCCTGTGGAAACTCCCTTTCCTCTGGCAGTATCTCTCGGCCTTACCACTGGTGGGGGGACACGAGAGACTTACCAGAAGAGTTGTAGCAGCAGCAGTAGTAGCCCGGTGACGATGGCAGTGGCGATAGTAACGACAGGAGACGGCACACAGACTTGAAGCACACTTCCTTTATTGTCATCTCTTACTAACATTAAATCTAAATAAAACAACAGACAACGTGTATTTACATTATCCTACATCCTGGGGCCAACACAAAAGCGTATTTACATCCAACCTCCCCAGAAAACGGGACCACAGCAGTCGGCGACTCCCACATCGGCCAGCAAGGGAATCCGGCGAAAGCGCCATCTATAGGCGGAGGTTGAAACCGTTTAGAGGCCTTACACGTAACACTGCCTCCCCCTCAAGGCGGATCGTCCCGATCCGGCCTCATCGCTTCCGTCGCCCCGATGTCACGCTCCCCGCTGGTGCCGCCCCTCGCAGGAGCCAATCTTTCTCGCTGGAGCCGCTCCTCTCGCCGGAGTCGCCTCTCTCGCCGTAGCCGTTTTTCTCCCTGGCACCGCTTCTCCCGAGGGCACTGCTTCCCTCGACGGTACCGCTTTTCTCGCTGGGGCCACTTCTCTAGCTGGGGCCGCTTTATTCGCGGGTCCGCGTGACGCAGATTCAAGGTCTGTCCAGGAGGCTCCTCAATCAGGCCCTCCACTCCACGCAATTCCCCCATGTTTCCCGGCTCGACTTCCAGTCCTCGGGACTCTGCCCGGCCCTCGCTGTCATCGTCCAAAGCTGTCTCGGCCGTACCTGTCCCATTCTGCAAGTAGGCCTTCACTTGAGACAGCAGCCTCTCCATCTCTAAGTCCCTGAGAAGCCTTCTCTCTTCCATTCGGCGCTTTAATCTATCCCGCTCCTCCCGGTGTTCCTGCAGCCTCCGCTTGATCTCGGCCAGCGAGTCCTGCTCAGAAGCCATTCCTTGGCCTCTCACGTCAATGGGCCTTTGTCAGCAACCAACCAAAAAACTTTTTAATAAAAAGCCCCCCTGGTGACCTCCACGAGGAAGAATCCCACTTCTGACACCAGTTGTCGCGCGTTTCCCCTCTGGTTCTTTGCGACACACGCTTCTTCTCTTCGTGGTTCACCTACCCGGGCTCCGGTTGCTCTTCCCTGCGGCTTCTCCCCGCAGGCCACCCAATGACGCCCGGAGTTCCACCTCTTTCTCCTGTGGAAACTCCCTTTCCTCTGGCAGTATCTCTCGGCCTTACC